CTTCTTGAAGGCTACGTTTTTCACCTTTTCTAAGCTTCTCAAGTTGTTGTTGGTCACTCAGTGCAGGTAGACCTGAATAGCCTTAGAGATTCTTACCGTACTCACTCATGTTAAATGGTGATATATTCAATGCAGTGGCATATTCCAAAGGTAAACTCCTCTATTGCTAAGCAGCCTTTAGAAAGAAGTTCTCTTTCCTCGATCTGTGACGCCGTGTGATCTGCACAGTGGATACTGCAGCCACAAAAATAAGTTCCCAGACAAGCAGAATGTGCAAAATGACAAGATGTGGCATTAATACCATGGTGTTTGTTAACAGTTTATGTGGAATTTTTTTCCCCTACAGCATAAGGCAGAAAGGACTCTGTGAATCTACTGCAGGAGCTCAGAGGGAGCATAACTAGTTCTGTTTCAAACAGGAAACCTGATGGTGAATTTAATGTGTGTGAAAATGGGAAGGCAAAGGACTTTTTGCAAAAGTTCATTGTAGGAAGATGTTCTGCATAAAACAAATCAATATTGGGCCAGTTCTGTATGATCAACACAGATTAATCCTGGTTTACTGTCTGGTTTTTGCCTTTCTGTGTCATTCAGACTGTTTGCAGGAGTGATTGGGGCTGAGATCATAGAATCATAGTATCATAGAATCACCCGGGATGGAAAAGACATCCAAGATTGAGTCCAACCCTACCGTGGTTACTAGACCATGACACTAAGTGCCACATCCAGTCTCAGCTTGAAAACCTCCAGGGATGGTGAATCCACCACCTCCCTGGGCAGCACATTCCAATGCCTGAGCACTCTCTCCATAAAATATCTCTTCCTAATATCCAACCTAACCCTCCCCTGGCAGAGCTTGAGTCTGTGCCCTCTTGTCCTGCTGCTGGTTGCCTGGGAGAAGAGACCAACCCCCACCTGACTCCAACCTCCTGTCAGGGAGTTGCAGAGGGTGATAAGGTCTCCCCTGAGCCTCCTCTTCTCCAGGCTGAACACTCCCTCAGCCTCTCCTCATGGCACTTGTGCTCCAGTCCCTTCACCAGCCTCGTTGCTCTTCTCTGGACCTGCTCCAGCACCTCAATGTCCCTCCTGAACTGAGGGGCCCAGAACTGCACATAGTACTCAAGGTGTGGCCTCACCAGCACCGAGTCCAGGGGCAGAATCACCTCCCTGGTCCTGCTGACCACACTGTTCTGATCCAGGCCAGGATGCCATTGGCCTTCTTGGCCACCTGAGCACACTGCTGGCTCCTGTTCTGCTTTCTATCTATCCCAACTCCCACGTCCCTTTCTGCCTGGCTGCTCTCCAGCCACTCTGTCCCCAGCCTGGAGCACTGCATGGGATTGGTATGGCCAAATGTATCATCCCTGTTTTGAAACCCTTCTGAACATGGGGCTCTTGGCTCTGTGCTTTGCTTCCCTTTCACATATACCCTGTGCAGGGAGAGATGATTTACAGCTCCAAGTCTGTTCAGTAGTCAGTAGCTGATGCTCTCACATTTGCATTGCAGTGTGAGACCTTCACATGTGTCCTCTTGTCCTTGGTGCAGGCAGGACAGCTATTCTGATTCACCTCCGGCTGACATTCTGTAACCTGACCATAGTCATTAACTCAAAGACTATCCCATTCCACCAGCTTAGCAGATGTGTGACTTCCAGCCCAGCTTGCTCAGTGTTTCAATACTAGGAAGCAGCAGAAATAGTGTGATTTAATAGTTGGTAAATTTAGCTTCCAACTAATTAAAAATAAACCAAACTCACCAAAGGAAACATTTCTACCCTTTGCCCTTTTCTTTTTGAATAGTAAACTGAGCATCACTTTTTGACAAATCACTCTAATTTCCTATGGGGAACATTATTGATTATCAGTCAGGGGACACAGAGATAAAATAATGTGATTTATCCATCCTGATCACTATTATTATTTATTCCTCTTAATCCTGCATGTTTCCCCACTGTTCTGCCCATAACTCACAGGTAGGTGCAAAGCTGGTGACAGACTTTGCACAAAGGACTGCTGTGAGATTGTGCTGTGTTGTGTCCACCACTGTCCTGGTGGAAAGCTTCACCACTGGGCTGCAGTGAAAGATTGCATAGTCAATACTTGTTATTCATCTGGTGATTGCCAGGAGAATGGTCCTGACACTGGGAATCCCATTACCAGCCATATGATGTTTTTTATTTGGATGATTTCCTGCAAACATAATGAGAAGGTCATTCCAGGAACCTAATAAATTGTGATGGACATGCTCATACAGTAAAGTAGCTGAGAAAGGTTCAAGATCACAGACACAGCACATTCACCATAGACATCTGTCAATCTCCAGAACACAGCAAGGCACATCCCAGGGAGGCAGACTGGGAGTGTAAATTAGAGCAGTGGGAGTACAAAGCCTCTGCTGCTCTACAAGTAAGACAGTTTCTACCAGGGCAGTTGTGGTTGCTGGATGCAGTGACAGATCTCTGGTAGTAGGTGTTTCTGGTCTGTGTGACTCTCAGACCCATTGCAGTGGGTCTTCAAGCAGCTACATCAGTGTTGTTGCACTGTACCAAATACCCCATTCCCAGCAACCGGGGAGGGAACACGAGCGTCCACTTATCAAGTCTTTTCATCTCTGTCCATCTTTATATCTAGGGCATGTTCAGGCTACCTTCATCCTTGCCTGAGCTCTGCACTGGAACAGTTGTGCTCTGGCAATCAGTCTGAATTCTCCTGTTTATCAGACAGGCCAGGATGGGGGGGGTGTTAATTTACTTCTTCTATTATTAATTTCAGTTATTCCATGAGGATTGAATATTGAATTGAAAAGACTGAAATGTGAAATCGAAATTGAAATTTTATCTGGGAGAAAGAAGACTTTTACCTGAATCCAGACTAATGTGTTAAATTAAAAATAAAAATTAGGGGTTTCTGCTCAATCATGGCAACTCTCAGGCATCTCACCACTCATACGTGTGTTTATATATATATATCCCAGAATAGCTGAATTCCTGACAACAGCTTCAGGAGTGGTTAAGCATGGGGATTACACATTCTATTCTATGCAGACATATTGAAAATAAACCCCTGTCAGTTCTGAATGAACGTGAGTTGTGATGGCAAAAGGCAATTTATGAGATGCTGTGTGTTACAAAAGTGTTGTAGACCTGTGGTTTGTCCACAACAAAACCCACAGATCTTTCAAGAGGCCAGGAACACGATGGACAGTGGTTCTAACAGCCCAACAGTGTTGCTGGGTGTTTATAATAGATACACTCCTTTCTGTTGCTCTCTATTTCATTGTGTGGTAGTGCTCACAATATCTCCATTATGGATGCATGTTCTACTGACCTGTCTGGGGGGGAAAAAAAATCTTAAGGAGTAGATTCTTGAAAAGACCCTAATTCCTTTTCATTTGTATAGCCTGAGTGAACAGCTCTTACAGCTGAATAATTCGTACCCTGAGGAGCATTCTTGAATTACTCTGCATTAGTCTAGGAAAGTGTGCCTGCTCTCTGCCTGGCTTTTTTGCCCCAGGAGAAGACTGGGAGAACAATGGTTGTCAGTCTCCAAGAGGAGAGCCTGGGCTTACAGTGGCTGCAATTGAGGCTTTCTCATTGTGCTGCTGTTATCAATAGAACATAAAAATAAAATCAGATCATTTGACCATATGATTAGCACATTCCTGTTGAACTCTAGGTGACCTTAATCTTCTGTCTCTTCACAGAGCTATTTCTTAAGATAAAATTTCTTCCTTAACATTAAGTCTTTCTTTTGATGCTGAAATAACCTCTGAGTGGTTTGCTTATAGGGTTTTAATGGCATGCATTGAGGCAGACAAGAAAAGATAGATTTGAATGATTGTGAAGACACATTGGATAACCAAATCCGTAACATCCAAATGAAGTTTAACCATATAATTGTTAATTTCTATTGCTTGGTGAAACACTTATTCTGTTTTCTTTTGCTCTATCAGTATATTGCAAGGTTGAAAAGGAAGTATTTCCAGTTATGTAAACAAGTAGGAATTTCCAGGTTTGTCAAAAATCGTAAGTTTACACTGACCAAGCTTTGCAACTTCCTTGTGGGCTTCAGACAGTTGTTTATAGATTTAGACTATGTTTTTTTAAGTAAGTAAGACTTCTCTGTGTAAACAAAATCTCACTGTAACCATAACTGTTATTCAATGGTAGAGAGTCATAATGAAGAGTTTTGACAATGAAGAGACTAGAACTTGTGTTTGTTTCACAGCTTCATGTTTTAAAATGTTTGCTTTTATGCATAAGAATTATTTGCTGTGCATAAATTAAGTTCAGTCTCCCTAGCAAGATCCTTGAGGACCAAGGAGAACCGAGGAATAACTATTTCCATTTTATAGCTTACTTGTTTTACAGTCAAGTCACAGAATCACAGAATCAATCAGGTTGGAAAAGACCTCCAAGATCAAGTCCAACCTAATACCTAATACCACCTTGTCAACTAGACTATGGCACTAAGTGCCACTGTCCAGTCTCACCTTAATCACCTCCAGGGATGGTGACTCCACCACCTCCCTGGGCGGTACATTCCAGTGTCTAATGACCTTTTCTGTGAAGGAATTCCTCCAAATGTCTAACCTAAACCTTCCCTGGCACATCTTAAGACTATGTCCCTGCCCATGGCAGGGGGGACTGGGACTGGAGGCTCTGTAAGGTCCATTCCAAGCCCTGAAATTCTATGATTCTATGATTCTGTGTCCTCTTGTCCTGTCTCTTGTTAGCTGGGAGAAGAGACTGACCCCTACCCGGCTACAGGCTCCTTTCAGGTAGTTGTAGAGGCTGATAAGGTCACCCCTGAGCCTCCTCTTCGCCAGGCTAAATAACTCCAGTTCCCTCAATCTCTTCTCACAGACAGCCCCTTTATCAGCTTCATTGCCCTTCTCTAGACACACTTCAGTGCCTCAGTGTCCTGACTCATAGCATCATCAGTGCCATATCATAAACTTACTATAAAACTGCCGCAAATCTTCCCCTCTACCCATTTAGCATGCGACAGTGACCACTGGGGACCTCACTGCAGCAGCCGCTGCCAGTGCAAGAACGGAGCCTTGTGCAACCCCATCACTGGAGCCTGCCACTGTGCCTCGGGGTTCAAGGGTTGGCGCTGCGAGGAGCGCTGCGACCAGGGCACCTACGGGAACGACTGCCACCAGAAATGCCAGTGCCAGAACGGAGCCACCTGTGACCACGTGACGGGAGAGTGCAGGTGTCCTCCTGGATACACCGGGGCCTTGTAAGCAGTGTCTTTCTTGGGGAGAAATACAAGTTGTGAAGAGTTCTGACAACAGAAATTGAGTCTAGATTAATTTCTAGCACTGTGCTGTTGCTCCGGGCAATGCGTAACACTGGACTGGGCACACCACGTTGTAGGGCATGTTCATGTGTGCAGCCAAGGCAAAGCTCCTTGACCCAGGCTGCTAAGTAAAAGCTGCCAGAAGTAGCAGCTGGAGCTTCTTCATGACCATCACGAGAACAGTTTGGCTACAAGTTTGGAAAATCTAACTGAAACAAGGAGTTATTTGGCTTTGTTGTTCCATTGTCAGTAACAATTAATGAGCTCCAATCTGTGTATAAGGAAATCCTTTGGGGAAAGCTGAAGTTCTTGAGCATGTTTTAATTTCAGCATCTCCATCTCCTGAACCAGGTGTGCTTGGTGCATTTATCCTGTGCATAGAGCTGTTCTGTGTGCTGCAGCTGTAGCTTCTCAGAGCCTCACTGTGTTAATCTCCTATATTCTGAATTTCAGATAAGTAGGATGACTTCAAGGAATCCAGGTTTGATAAGTGATTAGCCTCTAGCTCATTGATTTGGGCCTGAAGCTTTGTCTGTAGTTCAACAACACAAGATTCAGGCTGAATCTGATGTTTACTTTCCAGTGTGGTTTCAGGTCTCAGTTTCAGCTTGGTGCTTTGTCTGAAACTCAGCTGTCAGAGACAAAACACTACCAAAAAAAAGTAATCTTAAGCTCCTAGAATGCCAGGTCTGTTTCCTTAGGTTTGTTGAGTGGATACTGTACAATATTCACATAATCATACAAATATTCATATTTGCAGAAACCCAAAACCCATCGAAGGGAGCAATATTCACACTGTGCATCTCTTGGCATTGGGATTGCTCTCTGTTTCGCACTTTTTGGGTGGAAAACTTAATGATAGCATTAAAAACAAAGATGTGGCTGGAGCATCCGCCAAAGTAATGGTTGTCTCTGTTGTACACCACCTCCTCCACAGCTGTGAGGACCTCTGTCCCCCTGGGAAGCATGGCCCACAGTGCGAGGAGAGGTGCCCGTGCCAGAACGGAGGCGTCTGTCACCACGTCACCGGGGAGTGTGCCTGCCCGCCAGGATGGATGGTAAAAACACTCCCAGCCCCATAAAATTTCCATATTTGTAGGTTTCAGGCAGCGAATGAGGATAGCAAATGCAGCCTGCTTGTAGCCAGGAGTAATGAGAAACATATTTTAGCATAAGGGACTGAAATAAAATACGTGGAAAACCATCTGTTACTGAAAACCCTCCAGTTCTGCACTGCCTTTTTAACCATATCAGATTCTGGGAAGGAAAAGGCATGGACTGTACTGTGACAAAGCAACATCCATTAGGTCTTGTCTGGAAGTAATTAATTTCTAAGTGCAATTTGATATTATAGGGAGGTGACCACTGTGGCTTTTGTGCCTGGTTTTATATGTACAGTATGCATGATTAAACCCCCAAACCTTAGATACTGTGTTAAAGTGTTGGAAATTAAATGGGGCATCGGAGCTTTGACATTATCTTTAGACTTTCTACCCTTTTATCAGAGTGTAAGGAAAGAAGAAGACCTGACCTTGGAGCTGAGAGTAGCCTTCCCTACTATCAGGCTGCCAGTTTTGAGTTGGAAGGTCATGGTTGGAAGGTGATCAAAGCCCAGATACATTCTCTAAATACATCTGTTTATAATATTGATGATGAGTGTTTGTTAATAATGTTTTATATTTAAATGTTCATTTTGTGTGAAAATTCACATTTACTGATCTTTTTAGCTACCTCATGATAATTGAGATGTTATATGGAGATAAAATGTGGTAGAGGTCAGTTTTTCACCAATTAGAGAGCATGGCTATAAAATGCAATCTCTGGTTGTCAGTTTGGATAGCACCACTCACCTGGCTACCCTAGATTATGTCCATTTTTACTTTTTATTCCATTTCATGTTAAAAGAATGAAATTTTAAGTCACAGAACACAAATGTTTGCCTGAATTCTTGACTTTCTTTATCTGCCTAAATACAACTACTGAAAAGTGAGAGAGCACACGAAGTGGTGAGGGAAATTTTATACTGGTATGTGCCTTAACTAATAAATTATGGTTTAGCCCATTGGCTAATTTTCCATTCCAAGTAATTATTTAAGCATAACTTAATTATAGAATTTGCTATTCTGTCCAACACTATTTTATCAGTATAACATTTTTGCTTTTCCTTGAAGGGAGGTTTAAAGTAGCCAGGTACAAATTCTGCAGTATGTTGTGTTAGATGAACTGCCTGCAAATATGTTTTTCTTGAAATGTCTTCTTGAAATTCTAAAGATCTGATGCTCCCCTCACTACCCAGGTGTAATTAATTCCAAGGATGTGAAAAGCAGTGCAGAAACCCAAAACCCATCGAAGGGAGCAAATATCCTACCTAAGCTTTTACGATATGCTGCGTTAAATGAAATTACAAACAGGTTTTCCTTTCATCAGACAAAACCTCACCAATTTGTCATGAAGTAGTGAAATTGTGGTATTACAGCAGTTACTGCACTACTCACTGCAAGGCATTCCTAGGTATCTTGATACATACTACTCCTGGTAAATAAATAGGAAAGAGCTTGACACCAATTAGTCTTAAATGCCTTAAGTGTTTTCATGGTTGCTTAGAGATACTGTTTCTCATGAGCTTTTACTTCCAAAATGGAAATCCTAGAAAATTACTCCTCCAGTGCTGGAACAAACTCTTGTTTAAAGCTGGAGATGAGTCTGGCATTTCAAAGACCAGCACTGAGCTAGTAACACAAGATCTCCTTGATCTTCCTTCATTAGAACCCTTTCCTCCTTGTCCATTCAAGCTGTAATCCCAAACCTAATACTAAGATTTCTTCTCTGCGCTCACAGGGCATGGTCTGTGGTCAGCCTTGTCCTGAGGGTCGTTACGGAAAGAACTGCTCCCAGGAGTGCCAGTGCCACAACGGAGGGACCTGTGACTCAGCGACTGGTCAATGCCACTGCAGCCCAGGTTACACAGGGGAACGGTAAGGAAAGCTCCTTTTTGCCAGGCTGCTGAGTCTGAAAGAGCTCTGCTGTGATAGGAAAAGTTAGGGTGCTGGTAGGAAGAAGAATGAAGTATCTCTGATGTGATTAAAGGAGTTGGTTTAGACTGTGAAGTGTTGGCCATGTCACTTAGCTGATGCAGCGTTGCACGTTAAGTGTCTGTGTGAAGGAAACTTTCTGCAGAGGTACTGCTTGGTTTCAGTGTCTTCTTGATGTGGTCTATGTGGGTGTCTTGTGGGTCTTCACTTGAGTGGCTTGCAGAATGGTGCAGTTTGGGCTGTGGTGAAGGGGTGAGGAGGGAAACTTGTGGTGTCGTGCACACGTCTAGCAGTCATAGTACCAAAGGAGGCTCACTCAATTCCTCTGCAAAGTGAGCAATGCAGAAAGTTGTCTCCTAAAGTGTTTCATTCAAATGAAAGGAAACCTTTATTTTCTGATTGTTAAAAGTCAGCTCTGGGCGATTGGAAAGATGATATAGTGAGACATCAGTTTTGAAGGCAGTGTAAAGTGATGAAAGAAGTGTTTTCCTGCCTCTGTTTTAAACGGCACAAGACTCATTTGCTGAAGTCAGCAGCATCTTGGTCACTGGGGTCAGTCCAGGGGACTGCCAACAATTGTAGGCATTAGAACCATATGTTCTTCCCACACAAGTGTCCACAGGACATGGGAAGTGCTGTGCCAGACATAAGGGCGAAAGAACCAACTCATTGGTCCAGAGCCATTTGTATGCCAAAATGATATTTGTGGCTGTGAAGAAACAGTGCAGAAGGTGGTAGATGCATTTCAGCAGACACAGACAAGGCTGCAGGAAAGTCAGAGGAATATTCATGTGGGTGTCTGCACTGTACTAGTGTTTCTCAAAGTAGTTAATTTCTTTGTACTATAATACAAATCTGACTTTCATCTGAAATGCTTTACAGGCTGCAGCA